ATACACCCTTCCAACACAACTGTCAGCATACACTCTCCCAACACAACTGTCAGCACACACCCTTCCAACACAACTGTCAGCACACGCTCCTCCAACACAACTGTCAGCATACACTCTCCCAACACAACTGTCAGCATACACCCTTCCAACACAACTGTCAGCACACGCTCCTCCAACACAACTGTCAGAATACACCCTTCCAACATAACTGTCAGCATACACTCTCCCAACACAACTGTCAGCATACACCCTTCCAACACAACTGTCAGCGCACACTCCTCCAAAAGAACTATCAACAGAGGAAGGTGGAGTCTCTGTCAGCCAACCCAAAGAACCAGAGGTCATTACAACTAAAAGCAATTTACACATTAACTACAAGTGTCAGTAGTTATCAGCGGAGTTAGTGTGATATACGGCTCGGTTTGGTGGGGAGTGTCAGCAAGGATAGGAAGTGTGGATACCCCCAAGTTACTGTTGACAGCGTCAGCACTAACTGTTGATTAATTGCGATGGACGTCAGCAGATTGTAAGATAGCTAAATAGATCGTCAGCAGTCAGCCAACCTTGATATTCATTACTTGGGTAACTGACTACTGACGGGGGGGTGTTGGGGGTGAGGAAGGGTGTGGGGGTTGAGGAGGGATTATGGGGTGAGGGGAGGAGGACGGATGGAGTAGGGGAAGGAGGAGGGAGTGATGGGGGAAGGAGGAGGCGGGAGGGGGTGTGGGGCAGGGTAGATCAGACGGGGAGAGGTTTAATATGCTGTTTGCTTGAGGTCAGAGTTGAGTGACGTTTGTAAATTTACGCTCATCATTGTGTGTGTGTGTGTGTGTGTGTGTGTGTGTGTGTGTGTGTGTAAAAATAGCACTTATCTATCCATATACTGTATGTAATGAAAGCACATACACAGACACGCACAAATACACACTTACCATACAAACACATAACTGTAATTGCATGTCTTCACACTACCACACAAGAATTAAACACACACACACACACACACTTCATACTCAAGACGATATATATACTTCTAATGTACTTCTAAAGGCAACAGTCCTTCCTTTACTATAGTCATCCCTCCAATAGCGCCATTCTCCCTTAATATCCGAACACAACAGCCATCCCTTCCTCACTACCTATTGCTCAACCGCCTCTGTTTACACTTGCTCTCTCTCTCTCTCTCTCTCTCTCTCTTCGTCTTATTGGTACACTCAATTTGGATCTTATTTACAAGTTCGTGAGGTCAATATCTCTTAATTTCTCACTTTCTTTCCTCTCTCTCTCGCTCCAATTGGGGCCAGTTAGTGTGTCTTATCTGTGTTCGTTCGCCTGTTTTATCTCTCTCTCTCTCTCTCTCCCCCTCTCTCTCTCTCTGCCCTTCATTTTAACTAGGACAGCCAGTTAGATAAATACAATCACAGACATGCGAACTAGGACACACACACACACACACACACACACCTCCAAAACATATTTCCTCTCGTGGCTTCGTCCTCTTTTCATTAACACATCCTGGCACCCTGTGAGCGCCAGCAGTGTCACCCAGCTTGGCACTGATCCACGTCTATTATAGGGGCTCCAAATGACACAATTCACAATGTGCCAAAGGCGTTCATGACAAGACATAATCAGATTTAATTATAGATTCGTCCCTATAACTTCTCTATCCTGTATGGCTGGTCATGTAACTGTAACTCCCTGCCACACCCTTATACCTATAACTACTGAACCCCCTGCCACACCCTTGTACCTATAACAACTGAACCCCCTGCCACACCCTTGCACCTATAACAACTGAACCCCCTGCCACACCCTTGTACCTATAACAACTGAACCCCCTGCCACACCCTTGTTGTCTCTCGTGAGGTGATGTAGATAATGATATGAATATTAATTAACCGCTTATAGAGACGAAAGCTGGAGAGAAGAGGAAGGAGAGGGGGAAGAGGAAGAGGAGAGATGGTGGAGACGGAAGGGTGAAGAGGGGAGGAAGAGAGAGGCGGGGGAGGATAGAGGAGAGAGGGGGTAGGAGAGAGGGGGAGAAGGGGAGAGTAGGGAGGGGGGATGGTGGGGGGAGTAACTGGAGCACGGAGTATCATATTTAGTGCTGTTAGATTATAGCATTTGTAACCCTGTCGTGAAGTTATACTAGAGGGGTCAGGAGTTGAGATTATAGATGCAATGACCCTGATTTATAGAGAGGTTAGACTGTAAGATTATAGGTATATTATAGGTGTAATGTCGTTTATAATGCGGTGAGATATAATTACATAGAATACTGTATATAGAAACAAGCAAATGAATTATAGAATCGAATTATATATGAAGAGGGAATGGATGTATAATTCCTTATAGATACTAGAAGAAAAATAACAAAACTACATTATATAGCTGAATGTATAATGCAAGTTATAGATAATGTATAATAGGCAGAGCAAATCACGATATGTTATTAGTTGCAAATTATAGTTAGGAGGAATGGATGATATGACAGGAAAATACAGAACGTAACACTGAAGTTGAAATTATAGGCTAGGAACACCATAACGCATGATAGTACATTATATGAACGTCTGTGTTATAGGTAGGAAAGTATTATGAAACGGCATGATAGAAGATGTCACTAAAGGTGTGAATTATAGATGGGAGACACGACATAACACGACACTGTACAGCAGATGATAGGTGTTTTGAGATTACTAAGCTACACTGAAAAATAAATTATACGTGGCGAAATTCACGGGACGTCACTGTCAGTAGAAATTATAGGTGTGGTAAATCACTACACGACACTGATGTGCAAATTATAGGTATGAAAATTTCTACAACAACATAATGGAGTTACAAATTATAGGTGAGTGAAATGACGCGAGACGTTACTGAAGTATCTATAATGAGTAAGAGAGACCACTAAATGACACTATTAGGTTGAATTATACGAAACGACCCTCATTTCCCTTATTATAGGTTCAACCAACATCACTAACACATCATATAACGTCACCAAACTTGATTGAAATACATAACAAAAAATAAATAAAAAAATCCTCGATTATAAACATACATATGAATAAATTACTAATATATATATATACATAACAATAAAAACACGAGCACAATTTTAGATGTATAACAATGACAAAAAATAAATACAAATAAACCACCACAAAATAAACTACGACACATTGTTACACTTAGAACAAATTTCCAGACAGGTTCACTGTTTATCAAGAGAGAAAACAATATTACCAACTCACTACTACACTCTGAAGACCGGCTGAGTTACATCATAAGATAGGTGGCTGGGAGATTTATGGGCCTCTGGCATTGGCAACAGTGGTAGGAGGAGGAGGGAGGAGGAGGAGGTGGTGTTAGGGGATGGAGGGTGGGAGGAGGGAGGGAGGGAGGGGGAAGAAGGTGCCATAGTAAGAGGAAGGAAGCGGTGTTGGTGGTGGAGGTGGAAAGAGGAGGAGAAGGAGGAAGAAGAAGTGAAGGAGGTGGTGAAGGAGGAAGAGCAGAAGAGAAAGATGTGGAAGAGGCATGGGGGGAAGGAGGAATAAGAGGGGAGAAGAAGAGTATATAGGACGTGGTGCTAAAGGTAGCGGAGGAGGAGATGGAAAAGAAATAAAAGAGAAGTTGAAGAAGGAAGTACAAGAGGAGGAGGAGGAGGAAGAAGAGGAGGAGGAGGAGGAAAAAAATGAGGAAAATTAAGAAATATGAGATGACTTAATTATACCAAAGGTCTCAAAAGCCACATTAAGTGATAATTACAAGATGACAAACTAGTGATAAAGAAGACGAAGAAAAAAAGATGAAATTAAGAATCACAAAAAAATAGAAAAATCAAAAATAAAAACACGAAGAGTCAGATAAATATGTATAAAATGAACCATGAAATATAAAATTAGACACGACTAAAGAATTAAAAAAGAGAAGATAATCAGGAAAATAGTGATAATAGAGTTAGGTGAGATCACAATACGAAGCATAGGAAATAAACAAGAACGAGGAAGAAAGAAAACAACAGAACACAAAAGAAGAATAGACTTAATAATGAAAGTCGAAGGAAAAAGGAAGAGAGAGAGAGAGAAAAAAAATCGAATGAGAAAAGGGAAGGAAGTGAGGGGAAAATAATGAATGAAAACAAGAAAACCTTAAATAAAATTGAAGGAAGGAAGAATCTACACGTATATATTCCAGCAAGAAGGAAGAATAAACATCAAGGAGGCAGGAGGAGGAAGGTAGACAAGACACGGTAAAACAAGGAAGGAAGAGGTGGTCAGGATTTGTGAGAATGTCGCGGTTTTTGAGGTTGACTGTGGTGTTGTGATGATGAGGTGAGGAGGGTGATGGTGGTGGAGGTGAGGAGGAGGATGGTGTTGTGATGGTGGTGTGTAGAGGATGGTGTTGTGATGGTGGTGTGTAGAGGGTGGAGGAGGTGGTGGTTGCGTGTTGAATGTGGTGGTAATGGTGATATATAGAGAGTGGTGGTGATAGTGGTGGTGTGTAGAGGATGGTGGTGATGGTAGTGGTTATGTGTAGAAGATGGTGGTGGTGGTGGTGGTGGTGTTGAGATGGTGAGCTGTGGAGGGTGGTGGTGGTGGTGTTGACAGTGGGTGATGGTGTAGGACTGCAGAAGCGATGGCGATAAATATAATCAGAGCAATATAGATGTAGTTATGTGTATGTCGAGAAAAACTAATTATATATGAATGTCAGAAGAAAAGAGGGATGGAAAGACGGAGACAGACAGGAAGACAGACAGAGTAATATGAGAGAAAGAGAGAGTGAGAGTTAGGGAGAGACTGGACAGTGTTGTGACGGATGTTTTATGGCGGGTGTAAGGCAGAAAGAGGCAGAAGGCAAGGGTTTACGAGGTGCACGCGGACACAACACCTCCACAGCCACCCAGCAGAGGAGCGGCCACAACAACCCTAGCAGGGAGTAGGAGGGCAATGCTATAGTGAGGGCTCTACCACCCTGGTGCTGGTACGTACCTGGCGGGTAGGGTGCAGGAGGCATGCTCTCCGCTGTGGGGTAGTTCCTCAGGTAGCCGTCGTGGGGGTATCCAGCAGCAGCTTCCATAGCAGACTTGGGAGCACCGTCTGCCGCCGTCAGGTATGGCACGGGCTGGCCGTGGGCGTCAACATGGCCCACACGCCCGTAGGGAGGATAGTTGCACCACGTCTGGGCGGCGAAGGCCTGACACGACTCCGTGGCCATCGAGGAGGGTCCCGGTGCGTAGTCGTATTTGTTTGGCCAGAAGGCCAGAGTCTTGCGGTCAGCCATTCTGGAATCTGCAATATTGTAGTAGGTGGGCGTAACGCCGTCTCGACAGAAGGCCTGGCCATACTGGGAATCGAAGGGAGCCGTGGCGGCGGCATGGTCAGGTTGATAGTTCCAGGGTTGTGTGGAGTGGGAGTGCCTGATGACCCCGGCAGCGGCGCCCGAGTCAGGCCCCGTGGGGCACTCGGGCGGGTGCGGGTAGGTGGATACAGCCAGGGTGGTGGCCACACGCTTGGCCGGGATGTGGAGCGGTGTCTGGCCCGTGGGCTCCAAGCCTCGTGTACTGGCCGAGTCCTCATACAGTGATCCGTTCATCCTGTCTAGTCCTCCTCCCTCGCTGCTGCCCACTGCATGGTGGTGCCGCCACGGTATGGAGTCCACCGTCGCCAGGGTGCCGCACAGTCACACACGATCGGAAAGAGAGAACAACACACACACATTAGCTGGCGTGGCACTGGGTCGGCCGCCGCATGGACCAAGCACGCTAGGCACGGGAGCAGGAGCCGCGGCAAAAAACAGCCTGCGTGTGTTGAGGCCGCGGCAAGCTCAAACACTATCTGGTGGATGGCTCGACACCGCGCTCTCAACCCGAGAAGGCGGGGCTACTGTTGGCTCCGCCCAATGAGAGTAGTCCCGCCTTCTCTGGCACCGCCTCCTGCTCTCTGGCCACGCTACTGGTTAAAACTGGTCACGTGACAAATTAAGTCCCTCCCTCTTTGCCCTGCGACCCTGGTGGCAGCCCGGCCCAGCACTAACACACAAATTATTACATGCAGTAATTAAGGCTGTGTGCCGTTCTGAGTGATTGACATAACACACCTGTAGCCAGCGTGTAGCCGGGGCGCCCCTCACTGCCTCCCCCAACAGTAGCTGACACTCTAACCCCAACCCTACTTCCCATACTTCCCTCATTCCCACCTTCCCTGAGCACACCTCACATCCTCCAGTTCCCTTCCCCTCGCCCCAAACACCTTCCCACCACCCGTCCTCACACTACTTCCCTATCCTGGCTGCCCCGCGGCGGTCGTCACCCCACCAGTAGCAGCAGTAGTAGCGACGTGGTCACTCTCCTGCTGAGTCCTCCCCCCACCACCACTGGTAGGCTCATCAAGACGCCTCTCCTGCCCGCCCCTACCACGCAACCCCACCACTACCACCCCAAGACCACTACCACCATAAGACCACTACCACCCCAAGACCACTACCACCATAAGACCACTACCACCCCAAGACTACTACCACCCCAAGACACCTAACCACCCCAAGACCATTACCACCCCAAAACACCTTACCACCCCAAGACCACTACCACCCCAAGACACCTTACCACCCCAAGACCCTTAGCATCCCAAGACCAATACCACCCCAAGAACACTACCACCATAAAACCCCTACCACCCCAAGAATCGCTACCTGACTACCCCACTACCACTACCACCCTCCCTTGCTACCACTATAACCTCACATACTACTACCTCAAGACAATTATCACCCTCCCTCCTACCACCAACCTACCGCTATCACCTTCCCTACTACCACCCTACCCCTACCACCCCTCCCTCCATACTAACTATCCACCACCACCACCCCGGGAGTGTGTGTGTGTGTGTGTGTTCGTAAGAGGCCTCCCAGTATGAGTACACACACACACACAGACACACAGCCTGGCCCACCAACCACGGGGGTTAAAGGGACGGCTGGCGCGACACCTCCACCACCACCAAGTGCCGATGGGCCTCCCCGGGACACTCACACGACCGCTACTGCAGGAGGCGACGCCGCGTGGGAGGAACCTTGTCCACCCACGTCTTAAACAAGGTCTTGAGTGGAGGTGGAAACTCTTGTTACTGGGTTTTGAAGAGAGTGTGTGTAGGTTTGGAGGGATGTGAGAGGACTTGGGCGAGAAGATGTGGATTTGGAGTGTTTATTGTTGTTGGGTTGTTAAAGGAATTGGAGTGATGCCGATTAACATACACGTGTGTGATAATTTAGTGATTGTGAGTCAGTGTTTGAAGGGATAATAAGAGTGTTCTTAAATTTGGAGGTTTTGAGTCAGTAGGGAGGAGCTTCAGGCTGGTTTAGAGGGAGTCATAACACGTTTTGAGGAGGACAAATCAGCGTAGACTGGGTGATAGGTGGTTCGCATGAGGACAGTGATGGGGGAGACATAACTGAACTTAAAATACATGTAGATGACAATAGACAAATCTGATTCCCTTATATAACGATAAAATGCTAAAAAAACAAAAAACCGTAAGACCACCAATAACAGCTTAGTTCACCCTAAATGTTCAAACTGATCAAGGCTGTAAGCAGAGGAGTTCACCCCAGGGACTGAACTCGTAGACAAGATGCAGAGTAAAAACGACGACTCTTGCTGTCAGCCATCATTACCTTGTCGAGGAATTACACTCTGGCTGAGGATGTCAACCCCTCGTTAGTGGATGGTGTCTAATTATCAACAATCATTATCACTCGCCCTTGACTAACTGGGAACACCAACCACTGTAGCGTAGTTTACCCCCCTCCCTCCCTCCCCCCCTCTCCCTGCCCTCTCTATTTCTCCCACCCTCCCTCCCATCATTCCACCCTTCCTCACTCTTTCCCACCCTCCCTCCCTCCTTCCTTCCCATCCTCCCACCTTCAATTCTTCCCTTCATCTCTAGTTCCCGCCCTCTCTCTCTCTCTCTCTCTCCATCTTTTCCTCCCTCTTTCCCTCTCCCTTTCCCTTATGTCCTGTCTTAACACTTACATAATTTCTCTTTTATATTCAATTTCCCACTTCCTCTCCCTCTGTTTTCTCTTTCCATCTTCTGCTTTCCCGTTTTCTTTCATTCTCTTCTTTCTCACACCTGCTCTACTTTTCCCACTCATTCCCATTCTCTCTGTCTCTCTCGTATCTCTTTCTCTAACACCATCTCTATTTCTTTCTCTCTTACATCATTTGCCTGTTTTCACTACCTTATTATCTAAATCCTCTCGTCTCTCAAATCGTCTTTTCATCTCGTTTTCTCCCCTTCCCTTTTTCATCCCTTTCCCACTCCAACTCTCTACCCCTTCCGCTGTTCCTCTCCCTCCCCTATCCCACCTTCATTCTTCCCTCCTCCTCCTCCCTCTTCCTCAACCTCCCTTCTACTCCTCTCTCTTTCTCTCCCTTCCTCTCCCACCTCTCCCATCCCACCTCCTCCACCAGCAGTTATCGGTGTTGGCCTCCAGGAGTGAGCGTGTCTGCCTCTGTGTAAAATTATCGACCAGTTCTCTTACTGAGGTGAGGAGGGAGGCGGGGAGGGGTAGGGAAGGAGGGTGGTGGGTGGTGGGTGGTGGGTGGGGAGGAGGAGCAGGAGGAGGAGGAGGAGGAGGAGGAGAGATGGGTGTTGGGTTGGGTAGTGGGTGAGGAGGAAGAGGAGGAGGATAGGGTATTGAGAAACGTTGATAATGAAAAGGAAGGGAAGAAAGTGAATGGGAGAAGGATAAGGAGATTAGGAAGGAGAAAGGTAAGGAGGAAGTGGGAACGGATGAGATGAAAGAGATAAAGAAACCAAGAGAGAGAAGGAGATAGTGAGAGAGCGGAAGGAACGGATGTGGGAAGGGAGAAATACGATAAGGGAGAGATATGAAAGACAAAAGGAAAAGGAGTTAGAGAACACAGAGAATGAGGAAGAAGGATAAATAATAAATGATAAAAGAGAAAACGGGGAAACTTATACACACATGTAAAGACAAAAAAAAATCACGACAGAGAGAGAGAGAGAGAGAGAGAGAGAGAGAGAGAGAGAGAAACTAGGTGATGAGAGAGGGGAGGAAAGAAGAAAAATAGAGACAGAAAGAGATAGAAGCCTAATTGGACGACCTGTAGCAAATGAACGGAGGGAGAGGGAGAGACAGACAGGCAGACACACGGAGAAGAGAGAGAAATAAAACCAGACAGACAGATAGGCAGACAGACATTCAGACAGAGAGAGAGTAATAATATAAAAAATGGTTTCCTCTGCTCACCCGCAATAAACTACAGCCACTGGTCGACCAAACACAATGCAACTTAACGAAGATATATGGGAAAATATATACAACCTATGAAAAGTACACACACACACACACACACACACACACACACACACACACACACACACACACACACACACACACACACACACACACGGTAGCGAAAGGCGAAAGAGGGAGAATAAAGGAACTACGAAAGGGACTTAAAACGCATGAGATAAAAGGGGGAGGGAGAGGGGAGACGCGAAAGAGAGGAGGCAGTAAAGAGGGGAAGCGAAAGAGGGGAGGAGAGAGGGAAAAGGAAAATGAAAGTGGTACGAGGTAGGGGGAAAGCGAAAAGAGAAGGAGGAGAGAGAGAGAGAGAAAATGAGAGAGATGAGAGAGAGAGGGAAAACTAGAGGAGTATACAATATTGGAAAAGCAAATCAAATGAGAGATGAGAAAGAAAAGACGGATGAAAGGAAGAGAGAAAAGAAGAAGACAAATGTAAACGAGAGAAAGGGAATGCATGGACGAGAGAGAGAGAGAGAGAGAGAGAGAGAGAGAGAGAGAGAACAGCAGGAAGGGATGAGAGGGTAACATTAGCGATGACAATAAAGAGAAAAACAACACAAACAAACACTAAACATTTGTGTCTGACTGAATTTGGAACAGAGAGAGAGAGAGAGAGAGAGAGAATATTTAAACCAGACACAGAGGAAATGACGATAAATCAAGAAAAAAAAAGAAATACAGAAAGACGCAAAGAATAAAGAGAGGAGAGAAGAGACAATGGAAATGGAAATTCAGAACGGGCGATAAACCTTAGACAAAGACACACAAACATTAGATAATAAACAGAGGTGAACAGTAAACGAAGGGAGGAGAGGGGAGAGGAGGAAGAGGAGGAAGAGATGAATGAGGAGAAAGAGGAGAATGAGCCATTTAACGAAGCAGAATGAGAGAGGGGGGAAGAGATAATGATGAGAACGAGGAAGAGACTAAATAAAACGAGCCAAATAAGGTTATAGGAGAATTGTGAATAAATGAGGGAGCTGGGATAAAATAGGATATAAGGAATAGTAAAAAAATAACCAATAATATTTTCGAGATGCAGGATAATATAAATTGTAGTAAATAAACAAACAAATGGATAAGAATGAAAGGGAAAACAATAAGGAATAAAGAATGGGGTAAGGACACACATGATAAATAGAGAGATAGAGAAGACGAGACAGAAATGGAAGGAGGTAAAAGGAATAGATGATACCAAGAAAAGGGAATAAGAGATATATGAAAAAAGACAGAATGAAAGGAGACAGACAATACGAAAGGAAAAAATCGAGGCAAAGATATAAGTCAAACAATAAAGAAATGATAAAATGAAAAGAAAACAGAACATGAAAAAAGAAAGAGGGAGATAGACGGAAAGATAACATCAATGATCGATAAGAAAAAACAGAACAGAAGAATAAACGATAATAAGAAAGACAGAAAAGTAGGGAGAGAAATTTTAAGAAACAGGAAACAGGGAATTGAGAAAAAAAACGAATAAAGT